TGCAAAGAAATTGGGAAATAAAAAAAATTATTAGAATAATCGTGGTGGCTCAAATGTAATCAAACATTTTAACCAAACTTGTTTTAACAAAATTGGAAATTGGAAGGGGTTAATTGAGTGGGTAGAACAAATCCGAATCATTCTAACAAAATTGGATATTGGAAATTGAAAGTGGTTAATTGCGTGGGAGGAAAAAAATCATACGGACAGAGGCAAAAACCTTGTTTTAACGGAATTGGATATTTTTTGAATTAATAATAATGGTTGCGTCGATCAGTGAGCTATTACGCACTCTTTCAAGGGTGGCTGCTTCTAGGCAAACCTCTTGGCTGCACCCCTATCTCCTTTATCAGTCATTTAGGGGCCTTAGCTGGTGATCCACGCTATTTCCCTCTCGACGATGAAGCTTATCCCTCATCGTCTCACTCGCTGATCTTGACTCTTGTTATTTTGAGATCATATCTAGTATTCAGAGTTTGCCTCGATTTGGTATCGCTCTCGCGGCCCGCACCGAAACAGTGCTTTACCCCTAGATAAATCATAGAAAAAAGGAGTTAATTAAGTGATTAAGGTTGAAAATTTGAATGGGCCCCACAATTATTAAAGGAATCAAATTAAGAATTCAAATCTTTTAAATTAAAAAAAAACTATAATAAAAATAAATGTGATAAATAAGGGTAAAATCGATATTAAAAAAGAATCTTAAAAATGTAAAATTGAAAAAACATTTCTGAAATTAAGTTTCAAAAACAGCCCTCTGAAAACATTATCTCCAGAAATTTTCTCAAAAATCATCTTTTTGGATAAATTATCCTTTTGGTTACTGATTGTGGATTTAGTTAGATTATGGTTAGAAATATATTTAGGGAATGACGAGTTTCTGAAATAATAAATATAAATAATCAATTTAATAAAACAACAATAAAATAGAGAGATAAAAGTAGCATATGATTTTGGATTGAGTCACATTTATATATGGTATCTATAGAAAAATGTGTCACTTTATTTGTAAAATACAAATTTTTCTAATTGTTTGTAGGCTCAAAATAAAATACTCAAATCAATTCATAAGATTTAATATCATATTTAATAGGAATAGTAGATTGGCTAGATAAAAGAGTAAAATAAAATAATATAATAAATAAAAAAGTAATCATCATGAGTTAGCTCTCAAAAGAGCAAAATGAATTCAAAAAAATTTGATATCATGTTAATTAATAATAACAAATATATAATATTATAATTTTCATTTTTTTTTTCTTGTTATCACGTTTAAATGAAAATTAATACAAAAACTAAACCTTGAGGGAATCATTTTTAAAATATTCATTGTATAAAAAAATATTCTTACTTTTTTAAAAAAGTTAATATCAGTATATGACATCAATCATCATGGGTGATTCACCAAAAGAATTTATAGCGAATGATTTAAAATTCTACGATGGTCATCTACCTAGAAATTAATTTTCTATGTCAAACAATTTTTCTATAAAATTAATTGAGGTACGTGAAAATTGGGTCGAATACACATGACATCGAAATATAGATATACACCAATTTGAACTTTTCGACATTTTGAATCTGCCGCGAACTCACGACCCATAGAAGAGAGAGAAAAAAAAGAAAAAGAAAAAAGGAAAAGGTATTAATATAGGTTTTTCTTTGTTTCTGTACTGTGCTCGTGATTCAAAACAAATACCTTTTTCCTTTTTTTTTTTTTTTGATAAAGATTCAAAACAAAGACATTAAATTTATATTATTTTATTGTTAAATTTCATCTTATCCAACAAACTTTTAATGTAATCTTTAATCTAAAAACAAAAATATATATCTCATGGGATTTGTTTTTACGTAGGACGGTGCTCGTAATAAAACTATTTAGACAACTCCACTTTAAAATTCAATTTTTTTTTTCTCATTACTCTGAAAACAAACTTATTTAAATATTATTATTCAAAACTACATTATATTTAAATAAATAGTACCGTGTTAGCTCAGACAAATCCATGTATTTAAATGAGACAAGTATTATGCTTCAAATATGAATGAACTTTCTAATAGATCCATTGTTAACTTTTTAGTTTCATAATTACACTGTCTACCGCGTTACTTTACCTACTAAAATATCGCTCGTTTCCATCCTATATTGAACACTAAATACTATCTATTGATTGAAAGATCTTCGTCAAATACCAGACTCTGCCTTTTTTTTTTTAAGAAAATCTTCATATGCAATAGTTCTACGACACTCATGATCAAAATCGACTCCTGGACTGACATTATTCAATTGAATCAACAACAAATGCATCCATGGAAGCCGTTATGTTTTGGTTGTAGTTGTTAATCCGTTTTCTCTCGATTTTCAAGYAGGGTCTGCAAGAGAGCTGATGTTGGTATTCGAGCTAAAACTCCTAGAATAACTCCAAAGATAAACGGGACTAAACGATCTATCGAAGCTCTGGAATGTAAAAATGCATCAATTAGTTTGTCTCATAGTCTTTAAATAATACTACTAGTGTCTCATTAGAGTTAACAACAATGACCAATTAGACACATAACTTTAGAAGTTTATGAACATATTAAAAAACTTCTTAAAGTACAATGACTAAATAGATAAAACTCTTAAAGTTTAAGAAAAAAATTTAGCGAGAAATATATACATATATACCTATAATATAAAATATATTAATAAAAAATAACTAATATTAATATAAATATTAATTAAAATAATTCTTATAAATTTATTATCTTAAAAAATAGAACAAGATGAATACTCTCAAATAGATCATCCTTAAAAAGATAGAGATAATTGTTTCCTTCATTTGAATTAAATAATATATATCGATGTCTTATAGTCTTTGAAGTCTTTGAAAAATCTCCTACCGTAAATCCTTTTCTCTGCCTCTAAATGTGTGAGTTGACCGCTCTATTTATAGAGTTTTTCCTAAGTTTTACGTAGATTTGGGCTAATTGGTTGGACCCTTTAATTTGAGCTTTGAGCTTGGCCCATCTAGTCAATTTTGTAATAGATTTTGGACTCTACTCAAGTTTGACCCGGACTTAGGTGTGTTTATATTTTAGACTCAATCGCCACCTGACATAATTTGATTATACTATTTTATGATCTAGTGAAGGCAGATGACTTTATTTGATCGACCAATTTTCATGTCAGGTCCCAAACGTAATTTGTCATTAATTTAAAATAGTGGTGTGACAATTTGTGATTTGCATAAAAATTACAAGTCAACCGTTGTTGATTTCTGATTTGACCTTAAGTTTAGTTTAAAACAAATTTGATTAAAAATATATATATTTAAACAAATTTGTGAAGCTTTTCTAGAGGTTGATAACATTTTTGTTGTTGTTATTTTAATTTGAACATAAAATTGTATTGTCTTTTTAATCTTGGCCAACATTTTAAATTTTGATATCAACGAAAATACCAAAATCTCCTAGGGAAATATAAGTATTGATAAAATGAATATTTTAAACCATTTATAAAAACGAGGAAACTCATTAAAAGAAACAACTAAATAAGCTATTTGCTCTTTCTAAATAAGTTAAAACTTATTATTATTAATATTATTACCATATTTGTATTTCTTGTTGATATTTTCTATATTTTGTCATTTTCTTTTACGATACAATGAAAATATCGATTCATTTCTTATATGAATGTTAACTCATTGACAAATAAAAATGTCTATGAAAATTTAATACGGTAATCTATACTTATTTAATTTTTCAAGTTTCATTTTTAGCCATTAAATTTTTAAAAAGTGATTTAAAAGATCCTTAAGAGCGTCATTTTTTTATTAGTTACATTACCGTCATTTAAAAAACAAAAACAAAAACTGACGACTTTTTTCTTCTTATTGCTGATTGTAGCATTTAAAAAATTAATATATATATATATATGTAAACCCTCCTTTTTGTCATTAATTTAAAGACAATCATATTTGGAAATTATATGGTTAAACTACATTTTTAAACAAATTTATTTCATTTTGATCTTTGGGTTTCTTGAAATCCTACCCAAATGAACCGAATGAACACTGACCTAACCCTTATATTTTCCAATTAGGCTCGGTCAATTCATTACTCAATCACAAAAACCTAACTCTCACTCTCACTGGAGATTGATCGAGATTTCTTGGTTTGTTGTGTGGATGTACAATGTCGCCTGAAATACGATAGGAGACCACAAAATTAAAAAGGAGAAAGAAAATGAAACGTGAATCCAACCACACGTGAAGGGGAAATTTAAGTGAAAAAATATATATTTTTTATTTATATATTATTTTCGATTTGGTTCAGGTTGAACCGGTTAATATTTTTCCAAACTTGCAAACTGAATCGCAAATTCAATTTTACAAAAAATTGACACAACCCAACAAAAAAATTTCTAAATTCAAATTTAATCACGTTGCCCAGTTTCTTGAATATCCCTAGTCGTTTGGCCCAAATCGGGCCGAAAGTACTATTAGCAAGCTTAGGTGTATTACAAAGAAATATTATACTATTAAAAAATTATTACAAAAATATAATATTTTTCAAACTATTTGTAATAAAAATGTAAAATTTATCAAATTCAATCTAAAGGCTAAAACTTTTATCCCACCTCACTTTTTCAAGTAAAAGATTGACCAATAAAAGCATGAAAGCACCCACTTAAATATAGTTAATCGGTTAAAACACCTTATATCCGACCACAAGGTCGTGAATTCGAATCTCCCACCCAACATGTTGTACTAAAAATAGATAATAACGAAAGCATGAAAGCCTATATATAGAGAGACGATGGGATGCTTTTTAAAAAATCACTTGTCCTCACTTATTCCACCTAAAATTAAAGTCATGGAAATCGTTCTGGTTTCTCATCAAAACTACCATATTCTTTCAAAGCGAGCCCTTTTTCTTTAATAACTTTTAAAAAGTAGAAATATTTTTAAGATATTATCTTTTCAATATCTTTTTGGGACCTTTCAATGTACTCGACATTAAATTAGTAAACCCAAAATAGGCAACCAGATGGATTTCTAACTATTCTTATCACAATATATTACATAACATGGATAACCAGTTTTTTCAACCAAAAATAAGTCTCTAAATCATTGCTTATTGATCCCAGAAATTCCTCAGTTGGGACATGTGTAGAAGCAATTCATCCCGACCTAACCCCGTGACGCTACTCGTCATGATCCAAGAAGGATGTACCTTGTAATTTTGTCTGATAAGTTGTTGAAAGTCCCTGATGTTCTCGTCGGGTCTTTTTCCTTTGCTCACCTTCATTTTGTCGCACTTTGTGAAGACAAATGTCATCGGTATCTGAAAAAACATGACACAACAGAAAACGTTCAGCAAATGCATCAGACAAGGACTATAATCCAACTAGAACATTTTGCACACATACAAAGCAATGAACTTAAAAGTTAGATGCCATACATTGTTGCGACCAAGCCAATTGGCACAATCTAAGTCGATTTTTTGAGGTGGAACACTTGCATCAATAAGAAGCAGCACAGCTACCAGAGTATCACGGTTTATAAAATAACCTTTCGTGAACGAGGACCAATCCATTCGAGCAGCTTCTGAGGCTTTGGCAAAACTAAATCGAATTTGTAGTATTAAACAATGATATTTTACAAGATGTAGAATAGAGATTGCATTATGTTTTATTCAAAAATAGTTTAAAAAACTATATCAATATCGATAAAATGTCAACAAAAGATCCCCTTTAAATACTATACAATAACAAACTCTTATACTGTTATACATTTTGGATCCAACATTATACTAGAATTTCAATACTCTTCCACACATTGTCCAAATCTTCCAATTCTATTGAAATACTTGAGAATGATGATTGATTATTCCTTGAGACGTCTTAATGTGATTCATTTTCAATCACAAAGAGGCAATATGAAAGATTGATTCTCAAAGAGTGGAGAAAAAATATTTGGGACTCGAAAGAACACAGACACATTCAAAATCCAATGGTTGCATATCAAGGAGACCATACAAGATGACGTAGCTGGAAAACAAGTAAAGAGGATCAAATATTTCACATAGAGGAACAAAATGATTCCAACCTAAGGCTCAAATATGCAGATGTTAGGAGATTTTGATTCTATGGGGACGAAGATTCATTCTTAGCTTGATTGCAAAAAAGAAAAGGAAAAAAAAAAAAAAAAGCAAACAAACTTCAAATGGTAATGATTTGTCTCGAGTCAAGAATTGATATTTGTCTAAGAAGTGTAGTTCATTTTGATTCATCTCCATTTCAATACAGCAGCAGCAACAATTTTCTAACAAACTGAATAAGAATTTAAAATTTAATAAACTATCTGTTAGACCACCTATATTGAAGACTTATTCCAGAAGGGGTAGATTGGGAAATGAACAAGGAGGGGATAAAGGCCTAGAGAGAGAATGTGGGCCAGGGGAAGGGGAGCGTGTTGGTGCGAGGGGTTAGTTAAGGGCCTCGTAGGGTAGGGAGAGATCAGTCTATGCTTTTGTGCCTTGTACTGGGGTAGGAGGAGAGGTTACCCACCCTCTCGAATTAGTGGGGTGGCTTGTATCGCCATTGAGGCTTTTTCTTCATTATCAGAAAATAATCAAGTGAGGAGATATCTCACACTATCATGAGAAATTTCTCTATATCAAGGCTTGTGGACTCAACTTCAAAATGTTAGGCAATATTTCTAAGGTATTTCAAGAACCACTTTGTGCTGGTTAAAAATAAATCTTCATGTTTGACTACATATTAGAAAGCACATTTATATTCTCAAAATCATTTTAAAACACCGACTAAGATATCTGAAAGATTCATTGCTGAGTTTTTCTTGATGGCAAAGAATTCTTCACAATGGTCCCAAAACCAATAAAAAACTCACCCCACAAGTAGATGATGGAAACAAAACATCATAGTGAGAGTCCAATAGAGTCCGAAAAGAAATTATATTTATGGTCAAAAAATCATAGGCCAGAGAGCTGACTTCAAAATAAAACCAAGAGGCAAGAACACCTTTTAAATACATTACTCTCCATCTATCTTGCATAATGCAGGGGGCACAAATATAGCATTATACCACCACTACCATAAGAAAACTAATATTTGTCCCATAGCATAATTTTGAAAATGCATTTATGCCCTTTTTTAACTTTATATTATCAATTATGTTTTTTCTTATGAAATGCCTCGAGTTGTTTGTAATTAATCTCTTAAACAGGATTGTGTACTAGTTTGCCGATCGCCCAATTTTCCTACTAATCAAGAAATTATAGACAAGATACAGACTAGTATGGCCTACCCGTTCAGTCAAAAAGCAATAGAAGTTAGAAAGGGCAGGCAAATTCTAAGTTGCTATCAACTTAAAATACCAAGTACAAAACTTTTAGAAGAGCCATAGTGTATTACTGAGAGATGAACCACAGAGAGCAGATATTGGACTACACAATTAGAAACTTAAGACCGATACACTAACAGTTGGTTGCAAGAAAACAGTCATTCCTTCCGCTGTGTTATTCAAATCATATAAACATAAGGAAGCTCCAATGCTTCTCCAATACAAAATTTCAACAAAAAGGCAGCTCCACTATGCCAAAATTAAAAAGGTAATTGCAAAAATTTGTACAGAAACTTAACAATCATTATAAAGATGTACACGGAGGAGTTGAATCATGTAAATGCTAAACCAACGTGTTATGCAGAGTCGTATTTATTTAGTCTTTGTATTTTAAAAAGTTTCTAATAAGTCTCTAGACCCCCAATTTGATGTGTAACAGGTTCTTTGGCTTCCTAACACAGTTTTTGTCATTAGGTAAGCATCATGATTTCTAACCTAATCCTTAAATAATACAGTAAATATAGCATATAAGCATTAAACTGACTTTTAGACAAGTCAAAATTGAAAGTTCAAGTTCATAATGAATAAAAATAACTTCCAAGAAAGAGAACAGGAATTACCCATAGCCCGGTAAGTCTACTATGTACCAGCTTTTATTCACCAAGAAGTGATTAATCAGCTGCGTCTTCCCTGCAATCAGATGAAATTTCATAACCGTCAAAAACCCAGTAGCCACCAAACCTATCTAATCGCACATGGCGAATCCCCAAAATTCAAAACCAAATTCAAAAGTAGACAATGAATACAGAAGACCTGGTTTCTTAGACGTAAGCGCCACTTCCTTTTTGCGAACAAGGGCATTGATAAGGGAAGATTTGCCGACATTGGAGCGACCAAGAATCGCAAATTCCGGTTTATCATCTTTAGGGCAATCCCTGGCTCGAGCGCTGCTCTTCACGAATTCCACCTCCTTGACCCGAGAGTCGCCGGCGTAAGGGCCGAGCACAATGTTGGAGCCCGGCAGGATCATTTCTTCGGAGACCTCATCGGGCTCGACTC